CAGATGATGTGAAATCTTTGGAATATATCAGTTTTTAAACACACAATATAAAAAAACCTTTTTTTTAATAAAATGGAAAGAGAAGAGCTGGGTGAGACAGCTGTATTTTATTATAAAAATGACACAATGTGTATAATGGGGGCAGGGATACATGTTTTTATCCTGTGTCATAATTTAAGTTTATAGTTTGTTTTCTGTGTCTGTGTTCTTAATGTTAGATTGAATCTGTGTGTTTGTTGCTTCGTTTAGTGGATATATTGATGTATTGAAGTATAAAGTGTAAAGTGAACCATATATAAAATATTAATCGTGTTTCACTTTGATTCCATGTCCCTTTCAGAGCTGGCTAACGCTGGAAGGCCTTTATTCCCCGGGAACGATGTGGACGACCAGTTGAAAAGAATCTTCAGATATCTTTTTTTCTTTTGACGTCAGGTGTTCGTATATTGACAGTGTGGATCTTCTGCTTGCACAGTTTGTTATGTCGGCCTCTGAAGGGTTTGTTCAGATAGAACTATTGATCTACTATGCGATCAATGATTTACTGTAACTGTAAGCCCAGACACACCTCTCTGTTGCAATAAGTTTTTCTTTAACCGCATGGTACATTGTTGGGTACACCAACTGAAGAACAGTGGCAGACGATGACCAAACTCCCCGATTATAAGGTAAATTATTGATGTCATTTATTTTGTAAGGCCCACAGTGGATGGGAGTGTGTGTGAACTTAACCTCTGCTCCTCTTTCTACCTGCAGCCATATCCCATGTATCCAGCCACCACCTCATTGGTGAACGTGGTCCCCAAACTAAGTAGCACAGGGCGGGATCTTCTCCAGGTACTTAAACTTTCATCAACTTGCCCCCCATTTTTGCATTTTTCAGAATAAAAGCGGCTGCATTAATGTTTGAATATCTATTATGCATGCACTCGTTCATTTATTCAAAAATCAAAACTAATGTTTACATCTGTGGTTTTAATTCATCTTTTTTTAATAATAGTTTGTGCAAATACTTCAGCTACAAATACCGTATCGTGTTGCTAATAAACAGCTTTGCTCGCATAAAATTTGTATTCCGTATTAAAATATTTCCTTTCATCTCACCCAGAACCTGTTAAAATGTAATCCTGTCCAGAGGATCTCTGCAGAAGAGGCCTTGCAGCACCCTTACTTCGCCGATTTCTGCCCACCCTAAATGCAAAATTGCTTCTCGCTGAACCTCAGCCGCCAGAATCGATCATCCCTTCACTCTGTTGGGTCATTAGGACCAGTCCCAACAAGGCAAATCCTCACCGGTTTTCAAACACTCTCCTGCTTTCATTCTGTTGTGCCTCTGTGTGGAACAAAGTCCTAGTGGCTCTGCAAGGTTTTAGGTTCTTTTAAGTTGCAAGCCTGTTAAATTTGGTACATACACGCCTCCCAGTTAATTAGCACTATTGTGGGAGGGTGCACTATGTGTTGCATTGAATAAATTTTATACCTGTGGAAATGGTTGTCAACAAGAAGTCCCTCTGCTCCAAAACACCGAAATGACCGTACTGTTTATTTCTGACTTTTTTAATAGTTTGAAATTTTGGATAACTTAAACTCAAAGTGCTAGAACACACTGGATCAGCTACCCAAACAGCCTTTCTAACATTATGGTTTCAGTTCTGACTGTAATCTGTCTTGCAAAAGCAGTTTTGCCAATTTGTTTTCATATAGAAGTCTTAAGGTTAAGCTGTAGCGATTCAGGAGTTTTAATACCAATATCGACATTTGGGATTTTAGAAAATGTGATAATGATTTTACTCCGTTTCCATAAACACAAAAACAAAAACATTTTTGACAAGGATCACTTTTGTTTGATTGAGCTAAGTGTGGACTGTATTTCTGAATGATCTCAAACATATCTTTGGCATTCCTGTTCCGCAGTTTGTTGTTACTCATTAGCCGCAATATACGCCAGTACTGATACGTGTGGGATTAGTTAATATCTGCTGATATATTGGCTCTAGTGGAGACCGCAGATTCTTGGGGCAGCTAATGCTACAATATCCCTAGAATTAATAGATTGATTTGTCCTTTTTGGAATCACAAGCGATTCATTTGGAAATTGTGTAGGGATACGTCAATGTTTGTTACTTTTTATTTTTTTGTTATTTTTCAAACACTTTATTTTACAAGTCTGTAATTTCCTACGAATACAGAACTACTGTTTGTAATTTGGTACTAATTATTGGTTGGTCTTTGAAAGAATTCCAATCAAACCTTAGTGTATATTCAGAAATGATTCACATATTGGAATCTTTATTCTCCATATATACTAAATTGTATGTACAATTTGCATATATTTATGTTCAGTTGATCTGTTTTACAATGAATTAATTAGAAATATTAATTGGAAGTGTATCGATTTATTTATGTCCCTCCTGTAATTAGTACCAAATTACATACTTCTTTCCTGGAAACTTTTTAGAAAAGTCTAATAGGCAATTACAGACCTAAAAAATAAACTTTATTTTATTTTGACCAGAACAGACAAGACAGGACTTTTAATACTGTTATTTCACATAGTAAAAATACAACTCTTTGTCCCTCTACCTATTACAAGATTGTATCATAGCATGAGAAGCTAATTTATAATGTTCCTTTTTTCTCAGGCTTATTTCCTTTTTTTTTTTTGTATTTGTCTTTTGTGCACTTTGTAACTGACAGTTTAAATCGTTTAGTTATCAATATTATTAAATATGTTTTACACTGACAGCCAGGATTATAGCCGGTTATCAATAAAATGGGCCAATATATCGATATATGTTAATACTAGTGGACCATTAGTGACACATTTATGTTTGTTGACATCATCGTTCTCATTATTGTACTAATGTATTGTAGCTTTTTCTGAAATGCTTTTGTAATAGTTAAGTTAGAGATGAAAACTCCACTGATAATCTGTATTTTCATATAATGATTGATTTGCACCATGAGCTGTTTCCATTTTGGTTACTTATATTAACATGGTTAACAGCTTGCAGTGTTATTTTACTCCAGATTGTTACAGTGCTCCTCATTCCGTAAAAAAGCCAACATAATGAGTCGTTTGAAGTATCTGTTAATAGGGAAGGGATTTATTTTCATTTTGCTGATGTAAGACAAGATAATGGATGCATGTATTTATTAATGATGGAATGTCTGCTCATGTTTTTGCATTCGTTTAAATGTAGCACAACTTAATTTGGTACAGAAAATCTCTTTTCTGAATGATTCAGTGATACTCGGATCTATAGCATTTAGCAGGTTCTTTTTAGGATTTGAAATATTTGAAGGTTGTGTGTGTGTGGATTAAGTTATAATGACAAAACAAAAGCATTTTCTCTCAATATTTCATAATCTTGTGATTACAGGACATTTCAGACTAACTGCTGTAGAGTTACTTTACACAGCTTGCATTTAAATTCTGAATGAAGAGTGGGTTTTGCACTTTGCTAGTATCTTTGCTTTTGTTGGTAGAACTTGGGACAGATGCTGTCAGTGATTCTTTCTGTGTATATTTCAGCCAATAAGACACAAATACAAACATAAGTTTGCTTTTGAGACTGGAAGTTCATTCTTGACCTTGGAAACAGCTTTTGTCTCACCACGAGGTCCATTTAGTAGCTGTTTTGGACCTTTTGATCATACCACATGATCTTCAGCAAATGGAGTCTGCCCAGCTGTCATGGAAATATAGTTTACATATAAATATGTTTACATTTTCTCGTTTGTGTAGGCTTAAAATTTGAGTTTAAAAGTTACAAGGTCCATTCATTTACTAGCTGTCCTGTATCCATGGCAACTTGTGGTACGATTTTTTTTTTTTGTCTGTGTGCTTTTCTTAGAAAATTATTTACACAGCTTGCTCATTCAGAAGCCACCTAGACTATTTCACCATTTTAGGAACAAATCCAGGTTGTTGTGTAACAACAGCTAGGCTGCTGTATTTCCAGCTGAGCCCCGCCAACCTTTAACCAACGAGAAGAGCTCAAACAAAAAACACCAAAACTGTTCTAGCTGTAGCACATAGTTTGCATTAACGTGGAATCACATCATTCATAATGAGAAGGCAGTAAAGAGAATGTTTTCAGGGCCTGTAAGTTGGCATGCAGTTTGGTGTGTGACTGTTTGACTTAAGACTCACTACGTTACACATAGTTAAGTGTATATTAACTATTTAATGTACAGTTCAGAGTTAAAATCACATATCTACAATAAAATGCACATAAAGTACGTAGAGCCAGATGAAGCAAGTTCAGTTTCCAGGATGTTATATGAATATCTTGATGTTACCTGTAAGAACCAGTCTTGAAGGCACATTTTAGTTTCACTTCAAGCCATATTATATTTATTTAATCCATAAAAATTGACAGAAAGATGTCACAGTTTTTCCACAAATGCACAATATCTTTCTTTTCGAGTATTGCACGATCCCTAGCCTGGTTTGAGGAGGATTTTAATGTTGTAATCACGTGATGTGGAGAACACCATTTTGATTCATCTGGCTCCAAAAATACATTTTTGGACCTTACAAAGTGAATAGCATGGTTAAGATTACATTAAGAGACCAGATAATAGGAATACACAATGGTCATGCAAGGAAGAAAATGGGTGATGTGACATAAATGATTAACTGTAAGAATAAAAGAGTTCAAACCTAGGTGTTGGGTGACAGAAATATATAGAATACTGTTTTCAACTTGGCCATAACTATGCAGTAAATATCAATCGAGGACTACTTAAAGAGCACAAACAGTTAAGTAATAGTTTCTGCCAGTTCACATACACTCTGCTGTTCTTTGACTGGTAGTAAGGCAGGGGGTGGGGAGAGAGAGGTAAAGACCCAGGTCATTTTCACAAATCCTTCATCCAAAGTTTGCGGTAAATGCTGGGTCATATTTATGCTTTCTAACCCAACAACATGACACACACACTCCCAAAATCAGCATGGCAATGCAGCAGCATCAGAATAGCATCATTGTGTAACATGAATTGGCATTTGTGTCCCTTTATTTGGCTAATGATGGTTAATATACAATCGTCATATCATACATCTGCGTTTTAGCTGGCAGCTGGCCAGTCTACATCCATTCCAGCTGTTGAATACTTCATGAATTGAAAATGGGGATCTCAAATCAAATGTTTTTTTTGTCAATTTTATAACAGTTGTATCGGATTCAGTGCATTTATTGCTCATGAGACAACGCCACTGATTCACCTTTTTTGTTTCCTGAAAGGTAAAATTTCCATTTGGACAACGTCTCAAGGTGATCTCTGGCCTTCTCTTGGAGAACGCTCTTATTTACGTTAATGCTGGAGCAGTGAACACACCGCATCTAACAGTGTGTGTAGCTAAAACTAGAGCCATAAAAGGTAGTCACAACCATAGACGCCGGTCATTGGCTTTCAAGTGATGGCTGTTCTCCAAGGGTTTGTGCTTCACATCAACAGTCATCTAATACACAAACAACAGAGTAATAAAGCTACAGTGTTATGAACACCACTTACTTGATTGGCATAATACTTGAAAGTTTCACATAATAAAAAAACTCTTCTCTGAACTTTTAGTAAAGTATTTATAGTGAGGATATGTACCTACAAGTCCGTAGTTGTAGTGTCAAGGATTTAAATAACAGTGAACATTAACAATAGAGGAAGTAGACTCACACGAAGAAGTTGTGTACGTGAGTATGATGGGTAAATATAGAGTTTATTATATTTGATCATTTATACATCACAAATTGTTATTTGTGACTTATTACATGTTCTGGAATAATAATAATAATAAAAGGACAATGGTAAAATTGTACAATGCATTTCTGTTAGAAACCAACTGAACTGAATGGGGCTGAGGTGCATGGTGGTTTTCAATGTTTTGAGGCAATTCTCTTGAATCTAATAAAGTCTATTTAGTTGTCGGTCATGTTATAATCACCAGAAACTCAAAGACACTTACGGTCCACCCCGATAGAAAGTCCAAATTCCTTCTGGTTTAAGAACAGGTGAGGAAACATTTTTTATCTATATATATCTATATTTATATATAGATAGATATATACAGTATATTTGACCAATGTCTCACATGAGCGGTATAGAATTTCTTCATGGCATTTGATTGCGGGTATTTACACATTTCTGTCAAGTTTAGGAATGTCACCATCAAGCCTTTTAAACTCTACTTATGTTCCATAGAGAATAGATTACTATCACAGGGGATTGTGCTGATGGACACCTTTAAGACACAGTAATGAAAAAACGTAGCTGAGGAATATTTAAAAGGCAAAAAGGAAAGCCTGATTGTTTCTCTTCTGATGAATTCAATGTAAATAAGGGCCAACTTTTACAGCAAGCTGCATGCTAGTATTTTTTTTGTGTGTGTGATAATCAGCAACACAGCAACACTATCCCCCAACGATGGGAAAACAATGAAAATTGAAATGTCAGCTATATAAAGATAAAAAGATACAATCAACAGCCTTTTTCAGCCTCTTGGCTCTCTTTTTATGACCCTTACTGTGTGTAAAAAGTGAATAAAGTTAACAAAAAACATCCAATTCAGTAGTTTCTGCCGTCCTGGGATCCACATGGAACAAAACTAAATACTTGCATATGTACAAATAATCAAGTTCTCTTCTGTTTTTGAATTAAATAAGCACAGTCGTCTAAATTGATGAGACAAATCAAAGCCTCATAGTAGCAAAAGGCAACATTAAATACTCGTCTAGTGTTTTGATTCAGGTACGAGCAGCTCCTTTAACCAACAATCGGCTCATTAAAGTGGAGCAGATTATCTAAAAAAGCTCTCCTGTTCAAACTGGTGACAAGTATAAGGTCACTCAATACAGCATTGGTTAGATGCCGGAGACGTAACACTGATAAGAAACTGCAATGCTACACATACCAATCCACATGTATTCTTTTGTTTTTGGATAGATGTACAGCAAAACTAGCACAACAGTACTTTGTAACTCATCTCAACACAGGTCAGAAACCTTTTTTTTTTTTTGGACACATTTATCTTCACTGATTGTATACTCCAATGTGACCGCATAAGAAGAAAAAACAAAATGCACAAAATGAAACATGAATAAATTAACACTGTTGCCTTGACATGGCAGTTAAACCTGAGTTCTGTTTGGAAGTGGTCTCTTTTTCTTCTGATGATAGTATTCTATTTCTATTCAGGCATTGATAAACTCTACTATACGTTTTTGAGTTATACACTCAACCGTTTTCTGTTAAATACATACATTATTTCACAGTTTGCTGTCAAGTCCCCCAGATGTGCCAACCTACCCCGAACCCCTACTTTATGGTGTCAACAAGCAAACTCCTCAAAGTTGCCTAGAGTCGGGTGACGAGGTAACATGTTCGGCGTGAATCCGAGACTGTCCGAGTGACTCCGGAGGGTGTCACAGGTGCTCTGCAAAACAGAGGGAAGGGAAGGAGGGAAGACGAGTTCAACCGGGTTAAGGGAGGGGCGATGAAGGGAGTGGTGATGATGATGATAATGATGATGATGAGGATGTAGGAAAGAAATGAGCCACAGGTAAAATGAGAGCGACCAGGACGATGGAGGGACGCGGAGGTAAAAAAACAAAACACATGAGGTGAGGAGAAATAAGGATAGGATATATAATGGCAATGAGTGACAGAAACATATGTGGATGATGATGAGGTAATGAACACAACACATTTGGAAGTTCCAAGATCGGCCACATCGCATATGTTTCACAGGCAGTGAAAAAGAGAGTTTAAAGAAAATCAGGGGGGAGGTGGGGAAAAGATGAATGAAAGGAGGGAGAAGAGAAAGAAAACAGCATATTTTTAGTCCTGTTTTTTACACTAGCATGTTAAATTGTTATAGTTACGGAGGTTGAAACATCCACATAAGTCTGCATTTCTCTGTATATGCTCCATGAGTAGATAACTGCTGATATGTGGATAACAACCATTGGTAGTCCCATAGGCAAAAATGGCTATTCCAGCAGACAAAGAACCATTTACATTTTGTGCAAACTCACTGCATGCAGACCTGTGATAACATCACAAAGTAATGCATCTAGTGATGTTATCTGGCATGAGCCTCAAATGCATTGCCTCTAAATGGACCTCTGTGCAGCAGGGAAACAAATAGATCTCATGTGGTTCGGCTTTTTGTACAACGATTCAATAAATACGTGATTTGTTTTCACAGGAGTACTGCGCTTTATCCTATGGGAAAGAAAGCATCATTATTCAGTAGAAGGAGCAAGTTTTGTATAGTGCAAGAAAGTCAGATCTTTATGCACTTGGAGAATCCAACCAACTCATAGCCGATGAATACAGAAACACACCAAACTAACCTATAACCTGATGTTAAAATGCTCGCTGCAGTTGGATAATCACCCCTCTTTTTGTTGACTGTCTTACTAAAGCCAACCAAATCATTTGTAGCCACTGAGGAAATGATATATGAGATGGCATCAAGTATGTATGAAAGAGAGGGACAGCATGGGAGGGAGCATCTATTATCAATGGGGTGTGCTACCTGGGGGCATGATTAGGCGTGACACCAGGGCTGGTTTGGTTCTCTGGAAACTCCTGGAATAGACATGATGAAAAGAAAGATGGGTGAGGGTGACTGAAATGAAAATAAAACACAATGTAAATGCTAAAAGTTAAACTTGCGCGGGAATATTGCAAGAGGGTGTTTTCCCCTCAGCGATCTGAAGGAGGACAGCTGCTCAAAATAAGATTTGGGTTTTTCTAATAAGCAGGGAACACAAAAGACAATTACTGTCATCCATAGAGGTTGATGATCATTGAAGGGAACTTAAAATAGAGTCTAATGAACCACTTTATTGTCGGGTTGTTTGAGTGGAGATGTGATAATGGACTAGTTGAAAAACGGTTATTGAATATGAGAGAAAGGAAGTACAAAAGGATGGTTTATAGTAAGCAGGTGAACATATGACATGAATGGGGCAGAATACAGTAAATATCACACTATATAAGTAAAAGCATGACATTCTGTAAATATCAGCCCGCTAAATAAATGCATCCTCTACTTCCAATTTATAAAAACTGATCCTCCAAAAACCAGACTGACTAAAATAACCTCCGTCATAAATATGTTAACTTAAATAAACATTATCTCTACTTCTAAAAAACACAATAAACTTTGTTCAGTCTTCCTCTATATCAGCCATCAAACCAAACCCTGAACCTGAGGCAGCTGAGCATGCAAGAACACAATCCACATGCAGAGACAAACCCATGGCTTTTTCACCAATTTGAAGAAAAATATGGGGGATTTTTTTTTTCCATGATCAAATGTATGAACTGCTGGTAATGAAAAAGTCTTGGGCTTGTGCAACACAAAGAATTATAGCTTGCATTTCCAAGATTGGAGGTTGGAGGAAGGTTGGATGCAAACTGGTACATACGGTATTACTCAGGGACAAAACGAACTGTCTGCACTTAACAAAAATCTGCTTAAATGCTTTTGCTTACAACAGCACCAGAAAAGAAGAAATGTTTTAACCTTTGTTAGTGCTTCTAGCCCTACAATGAGCTGCTCAAAGGGATAAGTGGCTTTTAGCTGTGTGTGAGAAAGAACTGGATTAAGAAGTTATTGCATCTTATTTTAGAAGTTCAGTTCTATTTGCATTGAAAGTAAAGTTTAGTCATTATTTGAGGAATTTGATGGTGGTTATATTGGTAGTTAGACGACAAAAACGTTTTAAAAGTTCATGTTAAACTGTAAAAGAGAAGAACAACCAACAACAAATAAAATCACACCACCAGTTTTAGTTTTAGATTCTCAAACATTTTAGTGAATCTATGTCTTATGTTGATGGGTAGCATGTTCCAGACAAAGAAGCTCTATTTAGAATAATCCTAATTATACAATTTGGTTGCCTTTATTAGACAGGATCAGCCAAAGAGAGACAGGAAAGTGGGGAGAAAGACAGGGAATGGCATTCAGCAAAGGGCCACAGGCTGGAATTGAACCTGCGCTGACGTGACAAAGACTCATCTAACCCCTCCACATAGGGTGCACACTCAACCAAGCGAGCTACCAGGGCGCCCAACTCTCTTGATGGTTATTTATGCGTAGCACACATACTAGCCCAAAAACAACTGGGCATAATATAAAAGTACCAGTGTCGAAACATTGGCCATGATATGCAGAACAGCAAATATTCTTCCCTATTATAGAAACAATGTAACCAATGATGATCCACCCAAGACAGTAAATTAATTAACTATTACTACAAATATTAATAAATGTACCTTTAGCTAGGTCCCTTAGTAATTATTTTCAACTATTTTGTGGTAACAAACATGGTAAATCATTCACAAAAAATGGAAAATAATAGTCTCGTGGGACTCCTCAGGAGTTATCTGCTATCAGAGAAAATTCTCACTTTGTTCTGTCTGAAAAGTAACGCTCTATCCAAGCAAGAGCTGAAGGTGAAAAAACTACTTTTAAGCGTGGCATTAAGAAAACTATTATCAATAACATTTGAAAATAATAATCTCAAGTGGGTTTTTTTTTTCAGCACAGTGAGTATGCATATCGTTTTACAACTGCAGCCAGTAAAACATGATTTTCCATCTATGGTAAAGGTTTGATTCAGCAGTATGTGCTGAACATTTGCTGATTACTGATATTAAGAAGGTGCATTTCAGTTATAAATAATTTCTTAACTGCTCCACATAAAGCTTACATAACAGTCTGCAGGGGGAGTGGAGGTGCCTTTGGACACAGTGTGTTAAACCACTGGGCTTGACAAAATGCTGTGATTTAGGGCAAGACAGAAATGCCTCACATTACTCTAGTTTTCATTTTGAAGTTAAAATGGGTTTTATTGCTTGGAAGGCTTTGAAAATGAGTAGATCATGAAATGTTAATAAAATCTGCAGACCTCTTAATCTTATGCTTTCAGCTCATTCTTCTACTCTCACACCAATCCGTTCTGAATTTGCTCTGATCGTGCTGCCAGACATACATCGGTAAAACCCCAAGTACAAAAACAGCTTTTCCTGCTCTAAGTGAACCGTAATTACATGATTGAAGGTGACACAGAGAAGCTACTGTACTGTATATCGTGTAAATACTGAAATGTGAGTTCGCGTGTGGATCAACTATGATAATATAAACTGAATGTAAGTGCAGTTTATGAGTCATGATAAAAATTTAATCGAGAGCAGGTCAGACAGTTCACTTCTACCTGTCCATGCACAGTAGTTTAAGTGCCCTCAAGCAGCAAAACACTTCACAAACTATAACAAAGCTTGGAAACAAGGCTTACAAAGTCAATTTTCTCTGTGTACATACTTATCTGCATTACCTCTGTAAAACTATTGCAGATTTTTGCCATCACTGGAAGTAATTCGTCTTGATTCTCTATAATATTCACCATGTAAATAAAGAGTACTGTATGTGTATACCATTAGATACACTGCTTATGCATTCGTACTGGAGCCATAAAAACAATGTTTATGGATTATTAATGATCATGTTTTCTAGCACAATACATCTTTTCTGCATGGGAAATTGAAACTAATGATGACATAATGTGCCGAGGCTTTGCTTTCTCTCTGGTGCTGTTCATTAAAAGCATTTCAACTGTTAGCAGACTTTTTTTTTTGTTATTGTTGTTCCTGAGCTCAGCTAATATCACATCACATTCTTTTCATTTAATCAAATGCATTCTGAAATATTAAAATTACCAGATTGTCGCTCTGACAACGCTGTGGCCGTTTCTTGCGTATGAAGTAACCCAAAACCTTATCCTTAAACACCTAAATGAAGAAAAATCACATAACACATTATTCAGACATGGAATATGGAATGGAATGGAATCATTAAAACTAAACATTAAGAGTAGAAATATTTTCAAGTTTGGAGAAATGTGCTTATTCAAGAGTCAGATATCTGTACAGTAAACATGTAGCTACAGTAAGCAGCCAGTTAGCTTAGCTTAGCATAAAGACTGAAAACATGGGAAAACAGCAAAATGAAAGAAAAAAAGTTATATCTTGTTAATTTAATCTGTACAAAAACTGAAGAGAAAGAATTACAAGTTGGGCTTTTGCAGGAGATTATGTGCTGGACTATTTTTTGGCAGGAGGAGTTGTCAGGCAACCAGGTATTTACTGGTCCCTGGTCATCCTAAAATAGTCTGGTACATATCCTACCATGACTTGACAGTTTACACTTCAGTTTGTCTGTGCTTGAACCAAACAACATATATAACATGTTAAGTGGTGAGCTTTAGAGGTGCTGGAAAGTAGACAGCTGGCCAGACTGCTGTTTCCCTGTTTCAAATCTGGATGTTGTCTTTAGTTTCATATATACTGGACAGTCGTAAGAGTTTATATAAGCTTCTTTTCCAAAATGTCAACACTATTGTGAATTTAGTTCTTAAGCATCACTGACACGCACTTTGGTCAGTTTATACTGTGTTTAAATGTGCTTTATAAATTAAATTTACTTACTAAGCAGTACAAATATATTCAAAATGATCTTTGATTTATTTTACAAGGTAAAGTGTTACACAACTATTTACCTTTATATATATTAGGACAATAATAAACTGAATTAGTGTTTTAAGTTTTACATTTTAATTGGTGAAAACCATCACTTTACCTCATATAGGTAGTCAAATATTTCCAGTATTGTTAAAACACTGGCTCCGATAAACAGCCCCATCTGACCTCCAATGTCACCTAGAAAAAGAGAGATTAACAGATATAGGCAGGTACAATAATTGAACAATGGTGCGTGAAATCATTCCCTGCACTGTCATTTCCAATTCAGTATCTCTCAGAGTAATCTGAGCAGAATTGTCAAAAGTGTCCATCCAGCCCCAACTTCTCATCAAACGCAACCCTGCTGCCCTTGCAAGAGCATCAGATTATGAAAATGTGTTCAGCCTGTTTCGCAGGTTCAAAGAGGAAACCTCAAAGCACCAGGCGTGAACATGCGATGTGAAATGTGCGGTGCAGGGGCCCGCTGAGAGTACTGATACTGAGGTCAACCACATTTTTCTGTCACATTGAATCTGAAACTGTGAGAATCTTACCCAGAAGCCCTGCAATTTCATAGGCCTTTTTCTGCTCAATCTTCTCATAATTCAGAGCTTCAAAGAAGATGTCCAGGACCATTATATTTTCTCTGGAGAGAGGACAGTCAAGAGCACACCCAAATAAGTTTAGTTCTGGTGATATGACATTACATCCAATGATATCTCACATTTTCGGTGTAACTATCTTTCATTATTGTTACATTGAAGGTGAACGATGGAGACCCAGGTCATGCTATGCCACAGTACATCAATCCATCAACAGAAAAAAAATAAAAGAGGCTGAGATCTGAATAACTGACTGCTACCAAATAATACTTACCCAATATATTGCTCAGTTTTGTTGAATTTCTTAGCCAGATATTTAGCAGATGCCTTACTGGGGATCTTAACCATGGACAGCTCCTTGCCATAGCGAGTCATGTTGCAGGGGGTCTGACACACACAGTAATCGTTGTCTTTCTCTACCAAAAAGTCTGTGGATGATCAAAGTGATTTAAAAATATTGTGATCACTGCGAAGAATCAAACAAACCTGCACATAGAGGCTCTCAGTTTCTGCTAAAAATATCTCACAAGACAGAAAGAAATACATTTGCTGCCATCGTTCACTTTCTATGAAAGCAAATAATGACTGAAGCTATAATACAGAGGGAGAAAAAAAGCTCTGCCGGATTTATTTGATATCAGTGAAGCATAGACACATCACAACTCTTCTTAATGGAATTTTTAAACAATAATTTTACTTGATTATTTTGCTTCAGCACTGTCTGGGATTAAAGCAATTTCAAGTTAAAGCTACAGAGGTATTGTATCAAGGATGGAATAGTCTCATGGCACTGCTGGTGAACACTTCATTTCAGACATTAATGTTAAACTATCACACTAACATTTCATACTTATGCAGTAAAGTGTTTGTGCTCACCTAAAGCTGGGTCTGCACAGTCTTTGTACTGCTCAGGTGTGCAAACCGTTGAGGTTCCTGTTTGAAATAACATCAAAGTGAAAACAATTACATACATAATATAATAAAAACTATAAAAGGAGGGAACTGTGCCATTTCTTTGAACTGGCCAAGCCTTTCTGAAATCATACCAGGCATGTGAACCATTCTGCAGTTGCAGTTCTCCAGCAGGTACCGGGTTTCACAGTCAATGCGGCAGGCGGTGATGCTGTACGTGGAGAAGTATTCAGAGTCTATGGGAGTAGACTTGCAATCTCCCCAAGGCGGAGGGAGGTACTGAAGCTGAAAGAGCAACAGCACATGTTTTCCCTCAGTATATCGGCACACAGGATTACAACGAATAACATAATGCAAGCCCAGCACAGCAGAAGTACAAAAGAGGACAAGCTGACAAAACCCAACACAAATGTCTGCAAACATAAAATAAATAAATAAATGAAATAAAATACAGAAGCATTTCAATGAAAATGTGCACTGAGACAATATTGGCACAAAATGTCAGACCAACATTATTGCTCATGTATAGCAGCAAGCAGACATCATGCAGAACATTACTGATGTAGGTCTAGTCCCCGGTAGGAAGCAGAATACCATGGGAATAGAGACAAGCTTAAGAGAAATCTGTAAATTATGTAGTTTCAGACAGGACACCACAATCAATGGACAAATTTTACAACCCTGAGAACAGAACAATAAACAGCTTACAGTTTTCGAATGAACAAATACATGAATTGGACAGAATTTCAGAGATATACAGATATACAGAACACTACATCATTTTTTATAGTAAATATATGATAAATAAGTCTTAATGAATAAACTACTCTCTATTATAAGTGTTTTTTTTAATTGTTGATCGGCTATTTAGATTTCCTAACCTAAGCCCATTAGAGTTTATTAAAAAACTACCCTGACTGCAGAGTGATTTTAACAATGAAATGACGATGCGGCGAACAGTCAGTTTGCAGTCTCATTAGAGGTAAAACTCTCATTAAAAGGTGAAGAGCAGGTCATTACGTGTATGAGTAACTCTGGGAATTCTAAATGAAACCACTAATGAGGAATATTTAATGCCTGAATTTTAAGGTTTTGATTCACACTAAACATCAGACCCATGCTGCTCGTCGTATAACTGCAGCAATGTGCCCCGTGTGTGTGCGCGTGTATGCGCAATCAGTTTTGAGCTCTCACTTTAAAGGAACTCCTTTTTTGGTGTACCAAACACACTGACATTAAACCACCAACAAGACTTTCAGTACGCTTTAAAAGTCTTGTTTACAGCAATTTATGGTAATGAATGCCTACTACTCATTTTCATGACAAAAACTGACAAATATTTATAACGCCACCAATGGTTGCTTGAGCATTTGAGCATGTAGCTAATAATTGCAGTGGGAGCTCGCCAACAATCAATGCCAAAGGTTTCTTCCTGACAAACTTCACAGGGAAATGATGCTGCTATTGTCAAATTACGGCGCACTGTAATTCCCAATCATCTTCACCAGCTCTACCTATCTACAATCTAATGGTCATTTAGTCAATAGAAATTGAAAGAGATAGAGTGGAATTAACTGAAGGAGTGGACATAAACTGGTAAATATGATTAAGCCTTTATTGAACTCAATTTGTAGCCCACAGACTCTTATAACTGGAGTTGCACTGGAGATAAAAACCCTAGTGCAATAAATGCTAGACTTCAAACTGATGCCAGAGTCCTCGTGGGTAATAAAACCTAATGAATCACATTGTCTGGTCCCTCCAGATGACATTAAGTAGCGGTCCAGTGGATCGCCCCGAGAACAGATAAAAGCAAAATGAACTGAAAATGTTAACAGAACTGTACATGGCAGTGAAAGGGTAAAGCCAAACAACAGCTTTGATGAAGATACAGACTCGTATGAATGGCTTAAAGCTGGAATGCAACACATTAGCTGCTCTTTACTGATATCTATTAAACAGCGAAGACAATGACGACAAGGACAGACTGCGGATGTTATTGCATGTCGTTGCTTCAGCCACACAAAGGGGGTCGGATGGATCCATTCCTCAGGGAGGGG